GATGCATTGATGGATGGATGGATGCATTGATGGATGGATGCATTGATGGATGGATGCATTGATGGATGGATGGATGGATGGATGCATTGATGGATGGATGGATGGATGGATGCATTGATGGATGGATGGATGCATTGATGGATGGATGGATGCATTGATGGATGGATGCCGATGATGATGGATGGATGCATTGATGGATGGATGGATGCATTGATGGATGGATGCATTGATGGATGGATGCATTGATGGATGGATGGATGGATGGATGCATTGATGGATGGATGGATTGATTGATCCCGTGTGTTCAGGTGAGCGAGGGCGCTGCCGGTCTGGTGGAGGACTGCGTGTCGGGCCGACGCTGTGAGCTGAGCGCCGCCCTGCTGGAGGTGATGCAGTGTTACCTGGGTCAGTTCCAGCTGCTGTCGGAGATCCAGGGACTGAGATCCAGGTGAACCTCCTCGTCCACTCTGATCAATAATCAATAATCAGCTGTCATGAAGAGCTGAGACTGACTTTCTGTCTGAACCAGCTGCTGTTCATGTGACAGAGAGACTCATTCAAAAGTCCCTTTACAAAAAGGTCCATTTAAAGGAGCAGTCCAACATTAGAGTCACATTATTGATCAGACTGACTGCTCCGCGTTGAACGAGCTGATTCTGCTGTTTTCCACGACACTGTGCGCTCGTAGGTCCTTACAAAGGACGACGGCCACAGACTGCGTTATCTTCTGTGCGTTTGAATCCATAGGTTTAGCTTCAGAGCTTACACACTACCTCACTGTTGTCTCTTTGTTCCGGGTTTACACTGGAATCCAAAATGACTCCAAACGTCTGCTGTTAAAGTTGAAGGCGCTGGTTCAACACTGCTGTTACCTGCCATGTTGTTGTTGTTGTTGTTGTTGTTGTGTGGTCGACTGCGGCCTCTGTGTGTACAACGCAAATCACACAAAGGTGTTGCTCACCGCGCCCCCACTGGCCAGGGGCTTGAATGGATTCAGAGGATTTAATGAATCGATACCCCCCCCCAATATAAAATATGGAATGTCACAATGTGGATATTAAACGAGGTCAAACTGCTCTTTCTTACTTGGACTGCATAGACTTCATCTGACTGCAGGAGGAGTTGCTAATTAGCTCATCTGCTAACAGCAGCTGGATTTCCTCTCTTTTGTTGGAGCTAAGCTAACAGTTCCCCCCTGCTTCCAGCCTTTATGCTAAGCTAGGCTAAACTCAGTCTTGTCTGTGTTTTCAGTTTCGCCATCGACTGGCGTCCCGCTCAGCGTCTGCTCGTCTACCTGAAGTCGGCGCTGCTGGTGTGTCACCTGGAGGTGGAGGAGGGATACCCGAGCTGTGGACGAGCCCGACTGCTGTCTGTACGCAGGGACGGACAACCTGTGGACACATCTGGACTGAAGGTAACACACACACACACACACACACAACACACACACACACACACACAGTGAAGAAGAGACTTAAAGGTTTTATATAGGACATGCTGCCACTAGAGGGCGCACTACAGCTCCATTCACCAACCTGTAAACAGATAGTAAATACAGCTGAAACCACAGACAGGCTGCGATACACACAGGCAGAGGGAGTGAGACACCATGTGACTCTGTGTCTGTATATAGAGAGTATAATGTTTAATATCTCACACACACACACACACACACACACACACACACATCTATAATACGTTCTTATGATGCAGAACGGTCTGTATACATTGTTGTTGTTTACTTATGATGATAGAAATACTTGAGTAAAGTATAAATACCTCAAAATCAATAAACTAATCTGTCTGTCTCTCTCTCTCTCTCCCTGTCTCTCTCTACCTCCCTGTCTCTCTCTGTCTCTCTCTCTCTCTCGCTACCTCTCTCTCCCTGTCTCTCTCTACCTCTCTCTGTCTCTCTCTCTCCCTGTCTCTGTCTCTCTCTCTGTGTCTCTCTCTCTCTCTCTGTCTCTCTCTCCCTGTCTCTCTCTCTCTCTCTCTCTCTCTCTCTCCTCTCTCTCCCTGTCTCTCTCTCTCTCTGTCTCTCTCGCTCTCTGTCTGTCTCTCTCCCTGTCTCTCTCTCTCTCTGTCTCTCTCGCTCTCTGTCTGTCTCTCTCCCTGTCTCTCTCTCTGTCTCTCTCTCTCTCTGTCTCTCTCTCTCCCTGTCTCTCTCTCTCCCTGTCTCTCTCTCTCTCCTCTGTCTGTCTCTCTGCTCTCTCTCTCTCCTGTCTCTCTCTCTCTCCTGTCTCTCTCTCGTCCCTGTCTCTCTCTCTCTCCCTGTCTCTCTCTCTCCCTGTCTCTCTCTACCTCTCTCTGTCTCTCTCTCTCTCCCTGTCTCTCTCTCGCTCTCTGTCTGTCTCTCTCCCTGTCTCTCTCTCTCTCCCTGTCTCTCTCTCCGCTCTCTGTCTGTCTCTCTCTCTCTCTCTCTCTGTCTCTGTCTCTCTCTCTCTCTGTCTCTCTCTCCCTGTCTCTCTCTCTCTCTCTCTCCCTGTCTCTCTCCCAGCCTCACAGACCCGACCCCGGACTGACAGACTGGTTGGTGTTTCTGTGCAGCTGTCCTCTCCTCTGAGCGTCCTGTCTCACTGTCGGTTCCCTGTCTGTCTCACTTTATATCCGACTTTAGTCTGCAGCTGCTGTTCAAGCTGTTTCCTGTCTGAAGTATTATATTATTGTTTGTTTACATGTTATCACTACACAAACAAAAATAAACTTTTTACACCAAGAAGAAAGAAAAGTATAAAATCTTTATTCTTACATCCTGGTTGAGGCTTTTATTTTGTAGGGCTGTCCCTGTGGCCACCAGGAGGCACTGCTTCCTGCTGTCTGCCTGCCTTAACCCTCTGTGGGCCTCCCAGCATGCACTGCTGCACACCCTACTGTACACTGTGACATAACACACACATTGACATGTGCCAAGGTAACAAAGTCCAATAAACACCTGATCCAGAGACTCAACTAGTGCTGCACTGTAACGGAGTACACTTACTGAGGTACAGCTTCACTCACTGACACTCTCAGGTGTATTCACTTACTGTAACAGGAAGTGATGCACTGTAACTGGGACACAGCTCGTGGTTCCGCCTACTGGCTCCTCATTGGTCCGTGTGGATGCTGAGCTTTGACCAATCAGAGAGCAGAGTGTAAAGTTGGTATGAGTCTCCAGTTTGACCCAGTTCTGCTCAGTGTGTGAAAAACTCTCAAAGAAACATCGTTTATATAATCAGATATTTAATTATTATTATTATATTTATTGTTATTATTATTATTATATTATTATTATTATTTTATTATTATCATCATTATTTTTATTATTATATTATTATTGTTATTATTTTATTATTATCATTATTATCATCATTATTTTTATTATCAGTATTAATATATTATTATTATCATTATCATCATTATTATTATATTATTGTTATTATTATCATTATTATTATTATTATATTATTATTGTTATTATTTTATTATCATCATTATTTTTATTATTATATTATTATTGTTATTATTTTATTATTATCATTATTTTTATTATCAGTATTAATATATTATTATTGTTATTATTATCATTATCATCATTATTATTATATTATTGTTGTTATTATCATTATTATTGTTATTATTATTATCATTATTATTATTAATTCAATTCAATTCAATTTTATTTGTATAGCGCCAATTCATAACAGAAGTTATCTCAGGACACTTTTCAAATAGAGCAGGTCTAGACCGAACTCTTTAACATTAATTACAGAGACCCAACAGTACCACCATGAGCAAGACCTTGGCGACAAGGGCAAGGAAAAACTGCCTGTTAAAAGGCAGAAACCTAGGACAGATCCTCCGGCTCTAGGTGGGTGGTCGTCTGTCTCGACCAGTTGGGGTGAGAGAGAGAGAGAGAGAGAGAGAGAGAGAGAGGCAGACAGACAGAGAGAGAGAGAGAGGGAGAGACAGACAGACAGACAGACAGGTGCACAGCAACAACAGTATTGGCAATGGCAATCTAGCAGGACCATGGCAGGAGGCTCCACCAGGATCGATAAGAACCTGTGAGACGAGAAAGCACAAGAACTCCGGGGAAGAAGTGGAGTTAGTAACATGCATTAATGGGACATGAATGAGTGCAGAAAGAGAGAGGAAGAGAGGAGCTCAGTGCACCATGGGAAATCCCCCGATAGTCTAGGCCTATAGCAGCATAACTAAGGGATGGTTCAGGACTCACCTGATCCAGCCCTAACTATAAGCTTTATCAAAGAGGAATGTCTTAAGCCTACTCTTGAATGTGGTGAGGGTGTCTGCCTCCCGAACCACAACTGGAAGCTGGTTCCACAGGAGAGGAGCTTGGTAACTGAAGGCTCTGGCTCCTGTTCTACTTTTAGAGACTATAGGAACCACAAGTAGCCCAGCATTCAGAGAACGTAGTGTTCTAGTGGGGTAATAGGGTACTATGAGCTCTTTAAGATATGAAGGGGCCTGACCATGAAGAGCTTTATAGGTGAGGAGGAGGATTTTAAATTCAATTCTACATTTTACAGGGAGCCAATGCAGAGAAGCTAGTACAGGAGAGATGTGATCTCTTTTTCTAGTTCCTGTCAGTACTCGTGCTGCAGCGTTCTGAATTAATTGGAGCGTTTTAATGGACTTATTGGGGCAACCTGATAATAAAGAGTTGCAGTAATCCAGCCTTGAAGTAACAAATGCATGGATTAGTTTTTCTGCATCTGTCTGTGATAGTATGTGTCTAATTTTTCTAATATTACGTAAATGAAAGAAGGCAGTCCTAGAGGTCTGCTTTATGTGGGAGTTAAATGACAAATCCTGATCAAAGATAACTCCAAGATTCCTGACAGTGGTGCTAGAGGCCAAGTTAATGCCATCTAGAGTAACTATATCTTTAGACAGTGAGTCTCTAAGGTTTTTGGGGCCAAGAACAAGAATTTCGTTTTTTTCTGAGTTTAACATCAGAAAATTGCAGCTCATCCAGGATTTTATGTCCTTAAGAC